CTGGTTCTATTAAGAGAACTATATTTACTTTCCAACTTTATTTATATCTGAATACTTCGGTAGCGAGATGGCTCAACCGAATACGTTACCTAGTTGATCCTCCGATCAGCCAATCAGATGTGCCAGTCTGAGGAAGGCTAAGTCGGTAATTCTTGATAAGTGGCAAGTTATTGGTTAAGACAATAACTAAGGGCATCAAGAGTATTTATTTATTTTTTTATTTATGTTTTCTAAAGATAGGATTTTATGAGTCTCTCAGATTCGCCCCAACGAAACATACCATAGTTTCTAATAGAGCGACAGCGAAACATTAAATAAAATCCCTTCGACGGAAACAGTATTGAGAGGATTATATATAGGCAATGTCTCAGCCTCACAATCCCTCAGAGTAATGCTGTTTTCACGAGGCATACCTAACTTTACTAAAAGTCTCATTTCGTTTATATACTTTAAAATTTTCACGATACCTAGAATTTACCTACGTGTTTATTTATTCTAATGCGTTAATATCGCCTTGATAGACCGAATCTTACATCAGTGTGAGTACCATACACAGGCTGCACAAAGAACATCGGCTTTGTCTGTACAATCTTTGCAAGATCTTCATCTATGAGGGGTTGGTTACCATTGTGTAAAATACGCAAGCCTTTAAGTACACTGGCGTCAGACGGCGATTCCTCAAGCATATTACATAGCCCATGTGGTGCGATAACCATGTTTAAACGGTAATCTGACTTTATTAGTAGTGCAGCAATGAGTACTAAAGAGTCAAAACCGATTGCAACCGCAGCAGTGAGGAATAGTCTCTGGTTGTATGTGCGATTCCTTTTAGGATCATCAAGTACCGCCTGTATTGCCGTAGGAGTGCACATTGCCCTGTACAGCACCTTAGCTGAACCAGCACGCCAACGATTATCTAGCACCGACGTTATCACAGCCTAGAACAACATAGTCTGTATCGAAAACAATTATAGGACCGACAACTCCTTCAGCTTGTAGTGAAGCAATCCGATGTTCAGTTTCCTGTGGCGCAACTATGGATTCGATCTCTAAGTCATTGCGCACTAACATAAGCCTCTGGGCGCATTATATTTTACGCACCCACAGCGCCACTGCAAGTTGTGTATTCGTTAAAGTCTTTCTTAGCAATAAGACCCGACTTGTATGCATGCGCACTCTACAAGTGCTCCTTGCAATTTTCCGATCGAGAAGCATTCACAAGCTTCTTTCCTACTCTGAATCCGTCGAAGACTGGAAGCGCTACAACCTTTCCATGATCAGCACTCTGTATCTTGTTCAGTGAAGACGCACAGTCTTGCAAGAAGCTAACATTGCTACGTTCTAAAACAACATAGCTACGTCCTAAACAATCTCAGTTGCATGTTGCTGCGCATGCGTGTGAATCAGCAAGCTTGCATCTATGGCCACCGTTCCTGTGAAGCAAGAGACCGGCATTATCACTAATAAAGGGTCTATCAAGCGTTTCAGACCTGCAACACCCATATTGCAAATGTAGTACGGTCGTGTGCATTCGTGAAAGGGTATGTGTGTACATATATCCTTGTCTTATCTTTATAGTACAATCTGGTACACTTTCGTACACTTGTTGTCTATAAAATCCTAAATCCAAGAAATCATGCTGCTCATATTCAGTCCAGGTAGAAGCTATATTTTCGATGAAAAACGCTAACTAACCGAAAATTTTAAGGCGTTCTGCTTAAATAGCTTAGAATAGCATCCGACATATTATGAGAAGCATTTACTCGCGAAATATAGGACAATATGCCATGAAAGGACAATACACATCTTACTAGTTCTGTTATACGACTATCGTTGTTCATGCTGTTTGAACCTTCTGTATATATCTAGTTAAATAATTTGTTTTCCGTCATGCGTCGACAACGATATAAGGTTTCAGTGTTAGGTTTTCAGTTTCATCCACATCCCTCCTTGGCTTTTTAGTAGAACGGTTTTGTGATATATATCATATTGTAAAGTCTCACTTATCATATGGGCAGGCAACAAACGATAAGAGGGGGGTGGGGGGGGGACATCAGACCATGGTAAAAAAATATAATGATTCTTTGTCGCCGACTCACCAATACTACTACCAACTGGTTATGGGTAAACCGCCAACCTCTTCAATGGCTGCTTCGAGTATACACCAGTCCGGCTTTGTGCTATGATTGTAACAAATACGTGCATGTTCACATTGTTCGACTACCACACCGACGGCTGTCTCTGCCCTGTCTGCCCCGGTAGCCAAAAGTTCACTACCAGCCACTTTACCTGCATCCAACAACTGATTCGACGCATCCTGGTAGGCCCGAAACTGCCGCCCATTGGCCCTGACCTTCTTCAGCAATTACAGGAGTGCCACGACTTCCACGGTATCTAGACCCTCCACGAACA